TTTTTTTTTGTATTATTGAAGCACTTGATAATTGGTAAATCCAACTCTTACCTAAATATTTTTTTCTTCTCTGCTCGTGGCTCCACTACAGAATTCTTACTCTATGTGTGGTTATTGCATTATAGGTGTTTCTCATCTTGTCTTTGTCCTATGTCAACCGTCGCTCTCTCTATGTTCGCTCCACTCTGTTCGCCTTTCTCTTTTCTTGGCATCCACCTAATTCCATAATTTACCCTTTGACACAGAGAGACACTTCCTGAAATTGTGCATATTCTTGCTCAACCACTTTTGTACCCACCATAGAACATTCAAAAGCATGCAATTGGCGCTTGTTAGGATTGCAATTCACTTATTATTGCAATTCACGAATCAATTGCTTTAATAAACTCAACCCATTACTTTTGATTTCTCATAAACGTTTGATTCCTTTCATTATTTATTCTATATCAATGGTAAATTTCAAATTGGTATTCAACTCTGCTCTCAAAATTTATAAATTTCTTCATTTAGTGTTGTGGCTTCGACACAGCTAAAGAAATGAGATATAGTATAGCTTACATGTGAAGGATATATGAGAAACACGTAAAAGACATTATTGGAGTTCCAAACTTTTTGACATTATCAACATCTAATCAAGGAGAGAAATTTTGAGTTATGATTTGGATTTGGCTGAGAATGATTTGAAGAAATATTGCTTGAAGGTTTTTTGTGATAAAATTGAGGATGCATTCGATTATGGGTTCATTTGGAATGACTGCACTTTTGTAAAGGTGGTTGTAAAGTTATGGTGAGGAAATCGGTTTTTTAAAAAACTGCGGTTTGCATTATAAATATTTTTTTTCAAATGGTCGAACAATAGTCTTCTTATAACCATCACACTAACGGATTTAGTTGCGAAACACAGCCTCTCGTTGCAAAGATTTTTAGAAAGCAGTTAGAGAACAATTTCAAATAATATTGTGGTGACAGTTTGAAACCCGAAACAGCCAGGACGTTGTCCCAAACAATCCCAGTGCCTATAAATATCATGAGTTCATAAAATAGTTTTTTGGGTTTCTCATCAATATTCAATTTATTCCAACCCACCAGGACTGACTGAAAGATATGTGGAGTTGAGAAAGGCAATATATTTTGTAGATGCAAACCTTGGCATTCATCTATGTATATGTAGTTCATAATTCTCCACCAACTCTGTAAATCAAATTTATGATTTATTCAATTATCTCGTTTAAATTAGTATTGTGGATATTTGTTGTAGTTGCACTTCAAAATAATTATACTTTTGGTTAATATTTGATTATAAGTTTTTTCATCAACTGAGATTAGGTAATACTGTTTTAACAACTAGGAATTGCTAGCTTGACGTGTGAATGAGTTTATAGATGAATATATGCATAATAATTGGGAACCACTTGATTGTGCTGATCATACCTTATGTACTTCAGATCAAGTTATGAGTTGCTTTTTGGGGCATTTACAAACATACTACCCTAAGCATATGAATTTACATATCTAACATTTAAATTTTATTTTTACATTTATGCCACCCAATTCTTTCCTTTCAGATCAAAAAATACCACTATTTTAACTTTTAAAAAGTGA